TTTTGTTTTTTTTGTTTTATTTTTTTTTTTAAAAGTTGAATATATAAACAAGTAGAATTATATACTCTATTTTTTCTATCCAAATAAAATAAAATAAAATAAAATAGAAGTACTAATGTATGCTTTTAAATTTTAAGTTAAAATAAATTAAAACAAATAGACAACATATAAAATTACATTCATTTGTATTGAACAGAACATAGAGGACTGATGAACTCCACACGGCTTGGTATGAAGTCTAATAATCTTTTCATCTCTTGTTCATTCTATTGTGTTGGTTTGTTAATGTCCTATATAGAACACCATATTAGAAGGATGCAAAATAGTTGACAAAGTGATTTTTTTTATTTTTTTTTAGTTTTTAGTGACAAAAGGGGCTTAAGCCCAAAGAAAAAAAAAAAAAAAACAGAAAAACTACAGATCAGAGCTAGGGGACTCTAGCCCCTGAACATCTAGATCTAACAAGGCTAAAACAGAGTGAGGAGGTACAAAGTGATTCACTATTACTGTGGGTTTGATTCAGCAATTTAAGGAGCGATTTGGAAAAGTAAATGAAAAAAAGTAAGTGAAATGTGAATAAAATATATTTATATTTCACTTAATTTTACACCTCCTTTTCTTTTCTCTTTCTAAATCCCTCTCCAAATCTCTCAACCAAACACAGCGTATATGTCACCTAACCCAAATGCATAAGAAAAATCTTTTACAAATTAAAATTTTTCATTATCTTTTCTTATTCATAAATTTAGCAAGCAATAATAAAATGTTGAAATTTCAAACGTGACTCATTATTAGAATATAATAGCTATATGGAAAAGAAAATTATGAAAATACTTGAGGTGATTAATTGTTGGGTAGGTGAGTTAAAAAAAAATAAGAACAAAAGAACAAAAAATTAGTGAAAAGTTTCTTTTAGAGAACTTGTTTAGTCATAAATCTTATGAAAATACTTATGATTCGATAAGCCCCTATATATTTGAAATTATATTCTAAGAGGTTTTAGTTTTTATTTTTATATTTTGTAATTGGATATTTTTTCATGACATTTTTACCCTTATTTTGGTCAACTTGTTTATATTGAAACTATTTTCTTCTATGTTTCAAAATTATAAAATTGCATAACATTTAAAATACATATCCATTTTTGATAAAATTTATAGTTTTAAAAATTATTCGATGAGATCTATTAAACAAGATATCAATTAAATACAAAATTATGTAAAATGAAAAAAAAAAAACACTATTTTAGTGTTAATGTCTACACTTTTCAATAAATATGAATAATGTGATTGTTTGAAAAGTAGAAATATTCATACTTTCAAGGGTTTTTTTTAGGATCCCTGATATTAAGATTTTATAGCATAAAGGATATTCAATATTTTCATAATATCTAAGGTCTATCAACATTGATTTAGAGAAATTTCAGTCCAGAGAAATTCTTTCTAGATAAATTCTGGACTTCCCAAAAAATTTCTCTGGGTTCAAATCTCTAGATCTCTGGACTAACATAAAAAACCCTTGAACCTTTCACAAATTTCTGTGAACTAACATTCAAATTTCTCTAGATCTCTTGACTAACATAAAAAATCCTTGAACATTTCACAAATTTCTCTAGACTAACATTCAAATTTCTCTGGACTAACATCAAATTTCTCTGGATCAACATTCAAATCCCCCTATCTATCCAGAGAAAATTAAACAAGGCAGAGAAAATTAACCAAACCAAAGAAATTTTAGCGCAAAATTTCTCACATGGAGTATTGAGGAAAGTTTAACAGCAAAGTGGTTTTGTTTTCACTGTCCTAAGATTATATCTTTGCTAAAATTATCAAAGAAAAAGTCACTATTTTGCTAATGAGAAATGTTAGAGATCCACTATTTTAGACCCACAAATTCACCGACAATGATGTAGCAAGGGAGTTGGGCATTTTATCATTGGGTGTATAACAAATCAAAAGTTGACTGACACCTATCATATTACATCATTGTGAGTAAAATTATGGGAGCTTTTTCTGGGTCTCAAACATTTTCCCACCTTTGGAACGCGTTGGGATCCTCTAGAGTAATCTCCTAGAGTGATCTCCTACAGTGAAGGAGTGAAGCTTGACACGTGTCCTACTTAGTCTTCAAGGGCTGAGATTCAAACTCACCAAAACGACGTCGTTTTGGTGAGCAAATTGAAAAAAAAAATTAAAATTAAAATTAAAATTGAAGGTTGAATCCTTGTGCAACAAGAATGACAGCAACATCTCCATCTTTGGAGGGTGGAGAAAAGAAGCAATATTGGTGGCTTAGCAACAGAAAGGTATTTCAAACACCTTGATGATGATGATCAGGTGAGTAAATTGAATAAATAAATAAATAATTCAAAAAAAATTCAAAGGTTGATGTTAGATCCCTGTGCAACAACATTAAAGGTATTTGAAACACCTTGTTGATGATGATGATGATGATGATGATGATGATGATGATGATGATGATGATGATGAAGCAAGTAAATTGAAAATAAATAAATAAATAAATAATTTCAAACCCTGTGCAACAACAACAAAGGTGTTTCAAACACCTTGATGATAATGATGATGATCAAGTGAGTAAATTGAAAAAAATAAAAAATAAAATTTCAAAGGTTGATGTTAGATCCCTGTGCAACAACAATGGCAACAAAGGTATTTCAAACACCTTGATGATGATGATCAGGTGAGTAAATTGAAAATAAATAAATAAATTCAAAGGTTGATGTTAGATCCCTGTGCAACAACAACGGCAACAAAGGTATTTCAAACACCTTGATGATGATGATGATGATCATGTGAGTAAATTAAAAAAATAAATAAATAAAATTCAAAGGTTGATGTTAGATCCCTGTGCAACAACAATGGCTTAGCAACAGAAAGGTATTTCAAACACCTTGATGATGATGATGATGATCAGATCGTTTACATTTCGTTTCGTGATTTGCATTCAATCCCTAACATTTATGTATTTTTGCACAGAACGTCCTTGAACTGCCGGAGATGAAGAACCGAACGAGCTTTGAGTTCTTGAACAGCCTCTGTCAAAAGCAACCAAGAAAGGCAATGGTGGTACAGACTGACTCTGAAGGAAATTGGATTTTTTTTTTTTTTTCAATTGTGAGTTTTAATCTCAGCCCTTAAAAATTGAGTGGGACATGTGTCGGGCTCCTCTGTTCTACTGTAGGAGATCACTCTAGAGGGTTCACTCTAGAGGATCCTAACGCTTGTGGAACTGCATCTTTATCCAGTAACCCAGAGAACTTGTTTCTTCATATCCACTCGCTATATATATAGGCAGACCCATTATTAGATCTTGAAGTCCAATTCCAGCTCAGAACTCTTGGAAGAAGATTTCTGATATAATATGTTATTTATTAATGCAAGCATGAAGGCAAGAAATCAGTGCTTTAATTAGTCTCTAATTGTGGGATTCTACTAGATCTTTGATCCAGAGGGGAGATAAAATGAAAAATGTTTAGTTTCAATGAATGCATAGATATTAGTGTAGAGCTTGATATGATGTTAAGTAAAAAAATTGTGAGCAATCTTTTGAAAATTGCGCAAAACATGGAAATTTGCAGTGTGACCTTAGCTAATGCTGAAGATGCACTAGAGAATAATTAAGAATCAAATTATTTGAATGGAAAGCATAGATGATATTTCTGGTGCTTTTGAAATATTGAAACAAACTCGATTAGAATGCCATCGCGTAACTTGTTAGATCACTTTGCTATTGGTGTTTGTTATGGTTATAATGTTCTTAACACAATCTATCTTCTTATCATTTTTATTAAAATTTGGTCCTTTTGCATTCTTCTCACTGGCTTAATATTTTTGTTGTTACTTTCCTGTAATAAATCCCTGCAAAAATATTGATTTATGTTTGTCCTTATGTGAACCATAGATCAGTGCATCGTAGCTGTGATCCACTTTTAGAATGTTGCAGACTACTATCAGTGTATCAGTAGAGAATAGAAGCTTTCATCCAATTACCCCTACTATTTCCTTTTCCCTCGTCCAGGAATAAGAAATGTTTATTCAGGCATCACCAAATTTCTCTGGCAAAAACAACCCAAAGGCTAAAAAATATCATTTTCACATTTTTGAAAATTTCAACATAATCCCAAAACACTACAAGAATTAACATTTTTAGCAACAAAAAAATTGGTCGCTAAAAGTCTATTTTTGGTCGGAAAAAGTTATCCGCGACCAATTTTTTTGGTCGCTAGTTTGGTCGCCAATTGAGGGTCGGCAAAAGTAATTCGCGACCAAAATTTTCGTTGGTCGGCAAAAGTTAGATTTGCCGACTAAATTTTTGGTCGCTAAATATTTAATTACCACGACTAATTCATTTTGTCGCTAAAACACTTTGGTCGCGAAAAGTCGCCTTTTGCCGACCAAATTTCTTAGTCGCCAATTGACACATTTCGCGACCAAAAAGTTTGGTCGCCAATTGTGACATTTCGCGACCAAATTTTTTGGTCGCCAATTGTTACTTTTCGCGACCAAAACTGTTGGTCGGCAAAAGTGAGTTTCCACGACCAACAAAATTTTTGGTCGGCAATAGATGTATTTTTTGCGACCAAAACTCTTGGTCGGCAATTGTCATTTTTTGCGAAAAAAAATAATTTATTCGTCGCGACTAATAAATTGGTCGCCAAAGCAGGAAAACAATACACCTGTAATTCCTAATAATTCATTCAATCCATAATAAACCTATAATTTTAAAGCATCATTCAAATTAACGGATGCTGTAGGCGCTGAATACTCCAGAACTATTTTGTCTTAATATATTGTTATGCTTTGTTTACCAAAAAAGAAAACAAGGTGTGCAAAACCTCTCTAATAAATAATATCAAAATTTTCTTTTATGTCTTTCTCAAGCTATGTAAGGGCACAAGTTCATAGCATATTCATCGTCATGTGATGAATGCGTCAGGAAAGAAAAAATTATAGAAAAATAAAATATATTTTTACAAAATTTTCTCATAAACTAATGCAACATCAAATAATAAATTTTAAAATTTTAACATAAAGCCAAGCTCTTCATATCTCATGTCAATCCTCATAATCATAATCCACACCATACGCTCCGCAGCTTTCAACACCTTCACCGTAATCAGTCTTGTGGTCAAATTCATTATCATACTTTCTTATTTCAGACTCAATCTGTCGGTGCTAAACTTCTTGTTAAACTTTGTATCGCATTTTGCAATTATGCCTTCTGTGTTGGCATTCTCGGCACCTTGGCTCTGTAAAGACATTGAAATGGATGTATAGAAATACATTAGCCAACTCTCAGTGTAGCTTTGTCTCATAGCAAGTAATAAATTTCAGATTAATGGAACAAATATAACAGTAAAATAACATGGCATCATATTGTAACTTGATTTGTTAGATTTGAAATTGAGAATTCATGTAAATATGATGAATAATCCCACCAAATGATTATTTCAATCCTTCCATCTAACTTGAGCCAAACACACGCGGCTTATCATCATACAATTACCTGTTTTAGAAACCGTATTTGAAAAAAAACATTTGAAAATGACAATGACGACTGTATTTTTCTCCACGTCTCGTTTTCATTTATAAAAAGGGCTGCAACCTTCATTGGCAGGAAGAACTGAAGTTTCCTTTGTTAAGTGCGCCATTGAATTACCATAGGACAACGTTGGTTGGAGTCATTGCAATGGAGCTGAAGTCTTGTAAAATTCAGTGGGAAGGTAAGTTTATATTCAAGTGACCATTAACTTGAGGTCGAGACCATTTGTGTTGTGGGGATTGGTATTTGTCAATTTGTTCTACCCTTCCAATTCTTATTTTTGATTTGTTTCCATCACTAACCAAACCAAACTGGCCCAATACACATTGGTTGGATTTGGTTATTTAGTTTTCCCATTAACTATGGTGTATATGGCCACAAAATGGATAGGTTTGGCTCACATCTCATAATCAAACCATAAAGCACTTCCGAGAGTACAAAGAATGCGGCATTGATGACATACTAGGAGATTTATCTCTGCATCTAATAGGGTATTCCATGAGCTTTCAGCATTTCACATGTTATGTAGTGTATGAACTACCGACATTTTTCTACTATATAAGTTTAGAACTCTGAATTAATGTTTTCTCTCTTCCCCCTATGGTTATTTAGATTTTTTATTCAAATCATTTCAGTGCAAAAAGTGGTGCTAATAGAAGAGACAAAGTGAATGGATGTGAGGATCCTCTGAGGTGCAAACTAGAACAGTTTTACGGCGAAATGAGGGTTAAATATTCCTACCAAAAAATGAAGCAGGACAGCGTGTCTCAATCTCCTGAGTTTTACATGCTTCAATTGAATGGCACTCTTTGATCAATATCTAACTTGGCAACATATTCAACAATACAACAAAGGGCTTTACATGTGTTTATTTGTGTAATCAGTACATTCAAAGGACTCCACATCTAAACTAGTGCTCGTTCTTCTATGATTTTACTTACAGAAAGACTGTAGCAGTCAAAAGGCCGTGAGTACAATAAAACAAATGTTATTGGTTTTGTTGTCAAATCAATTTCATCTCATTAGCTACATATCATGGGTATTTACAGCATCATGATCATGACTATTAACCAACTTTTGCTCCAAATTACCTACACTCGAAGAGGGTAATATCTGAAAGAAAGGAACAAAGAAAAGGCAACATTACCGTTTCATGTTTACTATTCATTTGTTCCCAAATAATCTTTTTGTAATGCATCTCTTCCTTACTGTGCAGATATTTGTCAACCTGTAAAAAATTTGACATTGTTTCGAAGTTATAAATTCACTGATCTGATAAGTCAATCAGGTAACATTTACCAATTAAGTCAAGAACACAACTTGCTTTAAAACTTGCAGCATACCTCAACATCATCGATATCAGAAAGGCTTTCTGACTCGTCATCGATATCAGAAGCTCCTGAAACATCAGAATGTTACTTTGACTTAAGCTTTCAAGTTTAATCCCTAAAATAATGCATGACAGGAATTTCATGAGAACAATTCACTACAACAAGTTGGGTCTTGAATGACGAATGACCAGATACCTTGTTAATGCATCTAATTTTTCTGGGGTGCAGTTCTATAATAAAGTTTTTCTCAATTTCATGATTCCAACTTTTTTTTTTTCACTAAAAGTTAGTGATGATTCCAATTTATGCCAACCTCTTTCAGGAGGCATTTGCTCATCACATAAAAAGAGCCAATTGGATAATCTAGTAACTATTAAATGCCCAATAAAAATTAAAATAATTTAAACATTACTTGTATTCCGTCAAGCAGTTCCTGAAGTGATTCATTTAGTGCCGCTAGCTCTGCAGAATTTTTACCTACAAAATTTGATAACCAGGGATGAACAGACTTTAACAGGGCTGAACATAATGAGGACTATTTAGAAAAGAATTACCAGTTTTGCTGTCATTTTCATCAATATCCAAGATACCCAGATCATCATCATTAGTGTCATCATCATTCAATCCAGTTTTGTTGCCACTGGCAACACCTCCAGGTGGTACAAGTGCAGGAACCTCAAAGCACATGAAATGTGCAAAGAAAGAACTCTGTAGTTTAAGCAATAAGAACTCAAGTTTAAACACTAAAAAGAAAAAGAAATATTAGTTGTGTTTCCAAAAATTGGTAGAAAAATCAAAACCTCATCTACAAGGAGTGGAATAAAAATGGTAAGCATTTTGGTGTACACCTCTGAAACTGTAGAAGTGTCTGCATTGTTTGCACTTAGGCTGGCTCCTGTGGAAGCTTCAGGCCACATGGTTGGATTTCTTGATGCTTTGGTACTAGCTTGAAGCTCATTCACAAATTCACGAGCCTGTAGACAATTAAGACAATTCTCAAAACACCATATTTTCAAACTTGACACATTCCTTATTGGTTATAAACAATATAATCACTATCAGAAATTTTCCAAGACTTAAATAATCAGACAATGCATTACTTACATAAAAAACATACTCCTACAAATACAACTTTACTCTCACCAAGTCCTAAATAGCAACACGACACCATAGGGCAAGCTATGTTATATAGACTTTTTACTTCCCTCAGTGTACTCCATCAAATATGACAAGGGTAAGGGTGTGTACGACACTAGTACCCTATTTAGACATTTTATATAAAGTTCGAATAAAAAGACACTCACATTTGTCAGTAAAGAAACAATTCTAGCTTCTCACACAAATGAGATATACACTCCATATTTTTCTTAGATCTTATTTAATTTGAAATATATTTCTTAAAAATTTACAACATCCTAGCTAAGAATATTATACAATATGAATTATAAATGAGTGTTTAAGACTTGCCCCCATACCCATACCCAACTTTTGGATGCATATTCCAATGCTCTACAATTTAGGTTTAGAAAGAATTGATGCTTGAACACGCACTCGCACCTAATACTCGAACTCGAGTCCATGTACAATAGAGGGCAAAGTTGAACAACATAACATCAGTTACATGATATGAAGTTGGTATAGTGCATAATCAAGAGAAGTTCAGATACAACAATAACATAATGGCAGTATAAAGCTAAGGTTTGACAATCCATATCTTGGATTACAAGATAGTGACAGAGATCCTTAAAAGAGGTCAATAAAAAAAGGAAGACAGATGAAGATACAATTCTGCAAATTATTGGCACATGGTCTTGATGTTTTTAAGAGAGAAAAAATAAAACACTGGATATTGAGGGAACAAAAGTGGGAAATTTTAAACTCCACCATTTCCGCTTCACAAATTAAATAGAATTTCAATATAGAATGCCATATGTATTAGTAAAACCAAAAGCATGGCATGGTGGAACCATACTCATCCTGAATTGTATGAGTAAATGGTTGAAAGGCTTATGGACTCACTCAGTCTATGAAATATATTAAAAATTTTAGATGTACATTTATAAACCATTTGATGCATGTGCACATAGTGGGAAAAATAAAAAGAAGTGAGGGTGGGGAGGGGGGACACAATATAGAGGCCAAAAGGCAGAAGAAAACCTACAGAATCAGCCTTAAATAGTTGCTTGTTTGTGTGTGTGTGTGTGTGTGTGTGTGTGTGTGTGTGTGTGTGTGTGTGTGTGTGTGAGAGAGAGAGAGAGAGAGAACACCAACACCAAGTATCAGCCCACTTAACCAACCAAACTTGATAAACCTATTCTCAGTTCAATTCCTAGATCTAGTTTCACCATGCAGCTGCTAGTGATGTTGCATCCTGACTTAAGAGACTCTATACAAAGCACCTTTCATGATTTGATAGGTTATCTTTTTGATGCATCTTATATTTAAGAGTGACAACTATCCAGTCTATTTAGTAGAGCTTGAAGGTAAATACTGTGGTTCCTATCTTACCAAAAGCATGAGAACAGATAGAACATTAGCTAGATTAAACTTAGCAAACAGTCAGGGAAGTTTTAAATCTCTCAAAATGTCTACAGACGGTTGAACTAATAGTTTAAAGAATATAGAAAGGTATCACCAAACAGATGTCGATGCCCGAGAGAGTCTGAAGATACACAATAGTTATTTTCTTCAGGTCAAGGCACACCACCAGTGAACCAACATTAAAGCTTAAAAATTTACAATAAAAAATGGAATGCGTTAATACAAGTAATAACTCTTCAGTATTTTGCACGTCTCCCGGTACTAGGGCGAACACTCGGCCCTGCCTCATGGGCTCTTTCTCGGTAGCTTTGGGGTTCGGTTTCGGTGTAACAGTTGGTGCCGCTACGCTTGGTGTAGCTTTACTACCAGTTTGTGGAGCAGAAGGACAGTCTTTAACCATGTGGCCCACTTTGCCACACCTGTAACAGGCTCCTAATATCTTGTAACAGACTCCCTTGTGTTTCTTACCACACTCAGAACAGGGTGGAATGAATCCACTCCTTTGACTGGGGCTAGTTGTCGACCCCGTATTCTGTTTCTTGTTGGCCGGGTTGTGCTTGCCTTTCTTGAATTTGAAACCCTGCCTTTTTCCTTGCCATTCAGTTGTTGGTGTTTCGGATTGTTTCACTGCTGCAATGTTCGACTCGTCCATCAGTGCCCGGTCGAGAACACCCACAAAAGTCGGTAGCTTCAGAACATTTATTCGGTCAAGAATTGCAACATTAAGGCCACCTTCAAATTTTCTGGCCTTCTTATACTCAGTATCCACCATATGCGGTGCATAACGGGCAAGTTCAGTAAATTTTGTTTCATATTCGGCAACCGTCGTGGTGCCCTGTTTCAGTTGTTCAAACTCAGTTACTTTCCTATCCCTGACACATTGTGGGAAGTACTTTTCAAAGAAGGACTCCTTGAACTGAGCCCAAGTCATAACAGTATTTGTATCGCGGATCAACATCCACCACCTTCTAGCTTCTTCTTGTAAGGTGAAGGTAGCTAACAGTACTTTATTCGCTTCTGAGCACGGGAACACTTCAAATAGTTTCTCTGTTTCTAGAATCCAAGCTTCAGCTTTTAACGGTTCAAGGCCTCCCTGAAAGGATGGCGGTTTCATTTTGCCGAACTTCTGGGTAAGAGCAATAATATCCCCATCATTCACATTCACATTAGGTTCCGGCTGTACCGGAGGAGGAGGTGGGGGCTGTTGGTTCGGTTGTTGTTCAAGTCTAGCAGTTATCAGTTCCATCATTCTTTCTATTCTTTCCATTCTTGCCTCGATAGAGGAGAATTCAGGTTCATTTGCATTGGTTGTATTATCCATTTCACTATAAGCAGTTATAACAGTTTTAACATAAGCAGTCATTTGTTTAACAGTTTAACACGTTAGCATGTATTCAGTCATAACATAACCACACACTTTTCAAGTTCATGAAATGCCCTAACCACTTTCTAGGACACCCTGTAGCTCATTTGGACACGTGTGTGCGGTATAACTCGTGGTTAAGTATCGCTCTGGTACCACTCGGTCACGACCCAAACCCGGCCCTATGGGTTTAGCACCGTAACCGGCCAGTAATCCGAGATTACCGAAGGCCTGCTAAACAGTAATACAGTAAAACAGAGTACAGGGCCTGGCGGAAGCCAAAACAGTAAATAAACAATGCCCAATGAGCTGCGACAGTCTATATGAAAAGATTTTTCATACATTTATACGTAAGCAGTACAGAACGGTATGCACAATATTTACAATCATTCAGACTAGGGACTCAACCCTAGATAACAGTACGGTAAACATTCAGTCTATACAAAACAGTGAAACATTACAAAAGGGGGAATTGTAAAACACCCCTAAGCCCTAACACGTTAGGCTCGGAACCTCGCAGTGAGGCACAAAGGCTGGCTTGACAAAACTGGAGTAACCCTGACGCCTTCTAGCCTCAATCCGGTGCCTGTACACCTACATATATATATAAACAGTGAGCTAAAGCCCAGTGAATAACATAAAGCGTAAAGGGGTTTAGAATGAATGTCCTTACAGTAATGAAAACAGTTCATTTCAATCAGTATTTCAATTGCTCAGTACAGTAAACAGTCATATGTGGTACATCCATTAGCATAACAGTAACAATAGGTCTTAAAAGACCGAGCAGTAATGATGGCTATCAGTCAGTAAACCGTAGTGGTTCCACGAGGGAACCGACAGAGAATTCTGTCACAGTAACAGTAAGCAGTAGGTGCTAAGGATGCCACAATACAGTTCAGAATATAGGACATACATTCATTTAGTTAACAGTAATCAGTTCAGAAAACAGTACAGTTCAGTTGTTCAGAAAATAATCATTTGTGAACATATCTTTACACATTCGTTACTCACAGAGTTCGGGCTACAGTATGCTAGAGCGTGTCTCTCCAGTCGCCAACCCTACACAATTAACAGATTAAACACACTAAGCTACACAGTTGGGAAAGATAATAACTTAACCCTTAATGCCTCGGTGTGTTCTACATCTATATCCTCAACAAGATGTCTTAAACTAGGCCTAAGAATGCCTAGAATGGGATGAGGATGCAAAGATGCACATTTAAAAGCATTTTCAGAAAAACAGAGTTCCGCTCGAGCGCAGGTTTCCCCGCTCGAGCGGTAATGCAACAAAGGTACACGCTCGAGCGTAAACTTTCCCGCTCGAGCGTACTGTAAAAGTACTGGATGGGTGAAATCTCCGCTCGACGCCCGCTCGAGCATGAGACATGACTCCGCTCGAGCGCCAGATCCTCCGCTCGAGCGGACTGTAAAATAGTGTAGAGAGATACTGGATGCTCGGATTCCACGCTCGAGCGCCACTTCCCGCTCTAGCGTAAGTGCAAAATCTGGGAATTCCAGATTGCACCTCCAAGCTCAAAACCAAGTTCAAAAGCATCAAAACCGATCCCCTTGGGCCCATTTTTTGGAAAACTCTTATAAACACATGGAATAACATGATTCAAAACTCAATTTGAGAAATCAAAGCCCAAGGGTGTTTAATTCAAACCCAATTTCCAACCCTCTACACATTGAAAAACCTATCATCAAGCAATCTACAAAAGCAAATACAAACAAAAACAGATTAAAATTGAAATGTTAATGGGTTACCTGGAAGAGGGTTCGACGTGCCTGACGAGACCAGGAAGTTTGGGGAGCAAGACAGAAACAGGGGATTTGAGAGCAGAGGAAGGAGAAGAGAGGTTTTCGTCTTTGCAGAGGTAGCAAATGACATCGACCATGAGAGAGATTTGAGAGGCGGCTTGCCTAGGCAGAGGTCAGCTACCTCGTATGCTTGCAAGCGAACTGCCATACAAAACTGAATATGGGGGTTTTTTGAGAGAGAGAAAGAGAAGATGTGGAGGAGGATTCTTAGGTAGAGAGAAAGAGAGAAAGAAAGGCTGAGACTTGGCAGTGAGGCTTGGTAGAGAAAGTGGGCACCGAAGGAGAGAAAGAAAATTCAAATCCCCCCCCCACTGAAAATCAAATTTCCCCCCAAACTTTT